GCCTTAGGGTATACGTCCAATAGGAAAAAGATGATCACCCTCTTTTTATGATTATTTAGCATTACAGTCAGGGAGCAACATGGGGGTTTCAATCCCAGCTCACCACTTGCTAGGGTGTGACCCTGGTGAGTGACTCTATCTTCCTGTGCAAAATGGGGACCATTAACTGCAGGACTGGAGGGAGGATGCTTAGGGTGGCACACACTTGGCACTCAATGAGTGGTGGCTGCTGTCATTGTCATTTTCATTTGTGGTTTGTTGCTGTTATTGGAGGCTTATTTATTCCAGACAACAACAGGAACGTGAGTGCCTGCTGGATGGCCCAGGAGAAATCCCACTGAAGTCACCAGCTCCGGTTGGGAAAATGCGGAAGTCAAAAGGTCACTGTCACTTTTAAAAGGAAGCAGAAGAGAGTGAGACACAGTGAAAGTGCAGTGCCTCAGTTTGTCCGAATTCTGGGGTCTTAACAAGCCACAGAACTTCTACCATGCTGCAGACATTCATAACTCATCCATTCATCCATCCCTTTAACCAAGAGAATCACTGAGCATCTACTAAGTGCCAGGCACTCTCCTAGCACTGAGGATACAGTGCTGACCAAGAGAGGTGTGGTTTCTGGTTCCTGGAGTTCAAATCTATTGGAAGACATGGACAAATTAGTCAGACCATCAGTGTGATTAGTACCAGGATGCAGGCAGCACAGGGCAGAGGCCAGCAGAGCCAGGAGGGGGCCTCCCATCCAGGCTGGGTGGTCAGAGATTCTCAAATTCCTCTTCTAGCAAAGGAACAAAAACAGGAACCTGGCCAAGCACGGTGGCTCATGCCTGGAAATTCAGCACTTTGGGAGGCCAAGGTGGGAGTATTATTTGACCCCAAGAATTTAAGACCAGCCTAGGCAACATAGCAAGACCTCATCTCTACAAACAATTTAAAAAATTAGCCAGGTATGGTGGTGAACACCTCTAGTCCCAGCTACCCCGGAGGCTGAGGTGGGAGGATTGCTTGAGCCCAGGAGGTCAAGGCTGCAGTGAACCGTGATCATACCTGCACTCCATCCTGGGAGACAGAGTGAGACCCTGTCTTAAAAATAAAAAAATAGGGGTGGGGAGGGAGGGGAGGGTGGGGAGGGAGGGGAGGGTGGGGAGGGATAACAAGGGAAGAAATGCCAGATATAGTATGCACCTAAGGTAAAACAAATAAATTTTTAAAAATAAATAAATAAAAATTAAAAAAATAGAAACTTGACTGGCTTCTTCCCATCAGGAAGACTAAATAATCAGTCATTTACATATTAAGTGTGACCTATGCAATGAGAAAACACAAAAGAAAGTATTTAATCATTGGATTTAGGCATTGATCTTTTTTGGGGGGAGGATAACTGTTGACATAATAAATTATACAATAGTAATGACAGCAATTATTTTTTGAATGGATAGTTTGAGGATTATATTGTTTATTAAAAGATTGAGAACTTCCATAGATTATTTGCTGTTTCCCTGCTTCCCACCACCCTCCAAAGACTTCCACTGCCTGGGACCCTCCCCACAATTCAGCAAATAAATAGTTAAAGCCTGGCTCAGCAGAGAAGCGTCTAGGGACCCTGCTCCTATAGTTCTGATTGGTTTATACCTGGTTGCTACATTTATTAAACATTATTCTGGGTAACATAAATATCACTCTTTCCTAACATGGGGAAACTGAGGCACAAGTGAAGTAACTCACACAAGTGGCCGAGTCAAGATTTGAACCTCTGATTCAGAGCTCAAGCTGTTAACCTCTTGGAAGTAGCAATGTCACCTGGACCCCAGTGGAGACTCACAGAAATAGGAGACCCGGTACCTGTCCTCAGGGGGCTTATAATCAAGGCAGGGAAAGTTCTTAATAAAGCTGGTCATTGGAGTGTCTGGTGAACGTGTGATTCTCTCTGGAGTCTGAGAAGAGAGACTGGAGGGACTTCCTGGACAAAGGGCCATCTGAGTAGCAAGGGAAGGACTAGCCAGGAGGAGGGCTCCCTGAGAGGGGTTCTCAGTATAGAAAGCAGCATCAGCTTTGGAGCTGCCACACTGGCTGGCTGGGGACTCTATTCTTCTACTAAGAGTAGAAGTCTTGTGCTTTCATTTCCCTGAGGGAAGTCAAAGCAAGAAGTCCTTGCTAACTCACAAATCAGCTGCTGCCTCAGTTTCCCCATCTCTAGCAATGAGACTTATATCCTCCACATCCTCCCATATGTCTCCTTCCCTGCCAGCATATGTCAGGGAACAACATGGTATTGGGGAAGGATCCCAGAACCAGGATCTGGTCCCACCTCAGTCACCTCATCTGTCAAATGGCATAAAAAATTATGATGATGTTAGTGAGTTTCAGAAACAGTAGAGCATATGGTCAAGAGCCTGGGTTCAAAGAAAAGCTCTACCACTTTCTTCCCAGCTAACACTTGGCCCATTGCCACACATCTCTGTGCCCCACTCCTCCTCCAGGAAGGACACCATGATTGCAGTACTTATCATCTACAGTGCTATTTCAATTAAGAGACTTAATACTTCCAGAGCACCTAACCCCTTGTCCTACTCCAGTCAATGCTCAGTTTATGTTTGCTGTCACCATCCAGGACAGCAACTGAGCACTCACTGTGTGCCAGGCACCAGGCACTTGGCTTCTTATCTGCTGTGTGACCTTGGGCAAAGCTGGGTCTCACTATCCTCAACTGTCAGACAATAATGCCGTTTGGTGCGTGCTGACTGCATGTTAGGTGCAGAGCTAAGCATTTCGCATGCATCATTTCATACGATGCTCTCGACAATTCTATGAAGTTGATACTATCATTATTCCTTTTTTGCAAATGAGAAAATTGAGGCTTCACAAGCCATGATCGTAACCCTATATGTGTCATTGCAAAGTTCCAGTCAGTTTAAAAGTACCTCGAAAAGTATAAAGTACTGCATCTCTTCAGAGAACGTCTACTGTCAAATCCAGTTTCTCCCCAGCATCAGTTACTGGTTCACTTCTTTCCTATAATAATTTTTGTAGCTACTATTTATGGAGCAAGTCACCATTTTTGGCACCTTATCTGCTTTATTTACCTCTTTGAATCTCATACCAACCCTGTAAGAGAGGCATAATTATCGGCTCCATTTTATAGATTAATGTGGCACAGAGAAGTTAAGTCACTTGCCCAAGATCACACAGTTGTGATGTGGCCAAGCAGAAATTCTAATGCAGGCAGAAGGCAGGGAGGCTGGATTTGGGAGTGAACAAAGCTCACCCTGGGTTTGTTTATTCCTGAAATACTTTCCATCATCTTACTTCAGATAAAGCTGAACACACCTCTTTCAGATCTTCAGTTTTTCGCAGGGCCAGTGCTGCTTTCTGTGCAGAAAGTTCGGTATTTTTTAACATGCAAATATTTCTCTTCTCTAATGACCCCACCCATCTGCAGGCACACTGGAGTCTGTGTCTGAGTCTAAGGGGGCATCAGGCTTCTCCTCAAGAGACCGCTGTGCAGGGCAGAGTGGAAGCATTTGGATCAGCCTGTGTCAAGCCAGCTGTCTCTGACGCCTGGAATTGCATTCTATATGCCCAGTGAGTTGCTTTGGCAGACCAAGCATGAGTCGCCTGGAACAATCTGGTGCCCTTGTCTCCCACATGTACACACACACGCGCACGCGCACGTGCACACACGCACACACACACACACACACACACTGGCGTGCCCATACCCACAATCCCTGCACACATGGGCATGGGCTGGGAAGGGTAGCTATTGAACATGCACTCACAAAATACACACACTTTGAAACCTCAGCAGAGCTAGTTCACACACCTGGGGCGCAGAGTTAGCAGCCTCAATAAAATTAAAGGCTTGTGTCAGATCAAACAGGAAAACAGAAGCCCCGTTTCTCATCCAAGTTCTTTCTCGCTCTCTTTCCAAATAGAGCTGAATTTGGCATTAGGCTGACCTCCACCCCCACCGTCAGAATATCAAACACCCGGTTTCAGTATTTATGACAGTAAAAACCCTTTCTCACCCTTAATATGTCTGTCATCTGTCTGAGTGCATCGCTTTTACAGATGATGTGATATTGGTGATTTTTTTTTTTGGCCATTATGTCATAGGCTTGACAGGGGACAGGATAAACTGGTCCCCGTTAAAACGTTCAAAGTGCCGGCCGGGTCTTGCTTTCAAAAACGCAGCTCAGCTAAAAATATGTGTCATTGAGGTCTGCTGTGGCAAAGCACACGGTTTACCTAACCCAAGGC